AAAAGTATTACAAAGTGATGAAGAAGATAATGATCAAGAGAAGGAAACAGTGGAATATGCTGAATCTGATGATGATACAGACTGGGCAGCAGAAGATGAAGACGAAAACTCTGACGAAGAATCAGTGATTATAACTGAAAGGCACCTAACCAAATCTCTAACTCGTGCGCCACTAGAGGGCGAATATGTGATTGTACAATTTACAAGAAAAAAACTTACATCGCTTTACGTTGGAAAGGTGATAGAAGGTAGAAATGAGAATAATGAATTCTACATATCATTTCTGAGGCGTACGCCTGGTACTAGCAAATTTCACATGCCTGATAAGCCTGACCTTTCTGTTATAAAAGAAAGTGATTTGAAATTACTTCTGCCAAAGCCTTCAATTGTTGGCACTTCTTCTAGGCCGTACTATAATTTTGGACTAGATTTATCCCAACTTCGGATATGCTAAGAGGTATAAGGGTTATGGAGTTATTAATTTTTATTTTTGACTTGTTCTACAAACTTTCATCATTCGATGAGCTTAAGGAGTAAGATTGGTTTTTGTCTCTGATTGTAATAAAAGTTTTTTTTAACATTATAAGTACAAAAGAATACTTACAAAGTAATGTGTACATTTGTAAGTTAAGTAGAAGACTTAATTTTATTTGCTTGCTGATTATTATTATTGTTATTATTTATGCTTACGATGAGACTTATTAAAGTAGAAGTTCTTCAGTGTTTTGTAAGGCAAATAGGAGTCTGATGTATGTGTGATTTTGATTATTTCAATGTTAACAGCTACGATGCGCTCATTTTGTTTTTTAATATAGTAATGGGAATAAGTTTATTTTGATCAGTGTTTTTTCCGAGATATTCAAATGTGACTCAGAAATAAAGATTTCAACAGCATTCCCGTACTTTTGATTAACTCGGTTTGTCTTGAGTCTCTGTGTACTGTTAGAACCACTGTGGACCACTGGGGTGTGTCACTGTAGCACCCTACCTGTGCACAGTGGCTCATTTCTAATTTTTTACAAAATCATTATTGGTTGTTTTTTGGCACCCTTTGTGGACATTTCGATGGCACAGGATAAAAATTTCATAACCTCTGCCCACATTGGCCGAGTTTCAAGCCATTTGGTGAAGACTCGATGAATATTAGAGTCAACTGAAAAAAAGTGAGCCACTGTTCCCGACAATACCCTATATATATATATATATAGTAATAGTAATATTTATTTCTCCAAAATACACAACCATTACACAGAATTTTATAGAGGACAAATAAATGAAGAGCCCGCAGAAGGGTGGCCGTTGTGCGCGGGTAAAGGAAAACAGAAAATACTTATATACTAACGATAACGTAACACAATAAAATCCTTTTTTTTTATTCTAATTAACAAATGAGTAATGTATATGGATTTGAGTGAAATTCCATATATGTAAATGAAGTATGGATTGTACTCATAGAATATGGTATGTCAGAGGAAGTACTAACCACTAAAGGATAACCTGTGCGTGGCCATTACATCCAACTGGACCAAAACTAAACTCAAGGATTTTAAAATACAACACTACAGATAATTTAAGATGGGCCGCTAACTATTTTTTCGGCCACATCACAGACCGCTAAGGCTAAATAGATCTACACTAAGTATAATATATGAAGGCTTAAAAAGTACGGGTTAGGAAATGGAAAATTTAATGTAAGAATGGCCTACAACTTACAATGTATAGCTCGTGCCTTCTATGTACATATGGATTTTAACTCTTGGGACCACGTGCAGCCAGGCTTTTATTTGTTTTTTACATGAGTTTAAATTATTTACTTTTTTGTAAGACACTGGGATGGTATTGAAAATTCTTGGACAGAGAAAAATCCAGGACCTTTGTATGAGTGTTTCCTCCGGCTTTGGGACTACATTCTGGGACAACATTTTCTGACGGGTGCCATAGCAGTGTTCAATTTGCTTCAATGAGGACCGATTTTTGTACTGAAAAGTAATTGTACATATATAACTGTCTGACGTCAAAAACATTAGCCTCAGAAAACAACTCGTTGGGAGGATAGGTCTTTCTTTTTTTGTATATCAGTTTAAGTATATATTTTTGTACGCATTCGAGATGTCTGAGGTGACTTGAGGCCACAGCTCCCAATCCAATGATACCATAGTTTAAATGAGACTGAACAAGTGCAAAATATAATGTTTTTAAAGATTTCTCAGTCAGTAATCCTGTTAGATGTTTAAATTTTGGTAACAGCATTCCAATTTTTTTTCACGGTGTATTCTATATGCTCCGTCCATTTCAAGTTTTTATCGAGGATAATGCCTAGATATTTTATGTCAGTGGTTCGTTTGATAGTTATTGTGTTATTGGAACTTAGATTATTGTTTAGCGTGTCGTACTCTGGCAAGTGAGAAGCAAAGGGGACAAAGTTGGATTTTGCGATATTCACGGTCAAAAGTTTTCTGTTATAAAATTCAAGAATAGTTTTAAGATCATCCTCAATGACTATTTTTATATATTTTATATATATATATATATATATATAAATTGCTTTGAGTTCAATAATGAATTTTAATGTCTATACATTTATGGATCGAGTCCCTTGGCTGCTGTATAATCCATGACTTCATTTATTTTTTAAACCTATTTTGATGCTTTAACAAGCTTTATTGATGCTCGAAAAAGTGAAAACCGTCAAAATGTATGCGTTTTCACGCTAAGCATGCCTCCTCGATTCTCACCCTGAGAGATGTCAAGGACCTTGTGAAGTGACAGGATTTTTTGCTTAAAAAATAAAATAATACTTAGGTACAGCGAAACATTGGTTACTAAAGAATCAGTGTGATGATTGATTTTACTTATTTTACATCCTTTTTAGAGTCTCTACCTACATATTTAAACCACCAGTCGCCATCTGTCGGCGACAAAATTGCGAAAAGTCGCCAGAAGCACTGCTTGTTACGAGCTGGCTCCAACAAAACATTGCCTGTGGCTAGGACCCTGATACCTGCTTTGAACCGATGTCAGGTCAGGTAGATTTTCAGATTGAGATATATTCATGGCCTTCCTCACAATAGGCAACAGAAGGAACGTTTAGTTACAAAAGGGACTGATACCTAGTCACAAGTGGTAGGTATATGGGTTGATGAGCATGGGTGAGAACATTGAAACCACCATATGGCACTGGGATTAATGTGTTACTGTAAATAAATGATTGAAAATGATTACCCTTATTGAAAACGACTATCGTAGACCGCAGATAACTCAAATAATTGTCAATAAAATGTATTTTGTGATTAGTGGCTTATGCCATTCTTGAGTAACTAATTGCATCTGTGTGGCTAGTGACCTTTGGTGTCCAGGAAAATTCGTGCATTTGGCTTCATATCCGTTACCAAAAATACCTTTAACGTAGGCGTCTGTCAAATTCAAAGAAGTGTGCTACTGCAAGTCTAACGATGAACATCTTAATTATATATTTATAAAAAAACCATTTTTTAATTACCCATGGAGTACAACTTTTTGTTTTCAATAAGTCACCACTATTTTACGATGTGTGATGTTTTTCCGATTCTCTTTGTTCCTGAAAATGTAAATCTATTCTAGCACTCCAATTTCTATTAAGCAAGAAATTTCTGGATTTACATAAAACTTGTATCTTTAGATTTCTCGAAATAAAGTCAAAGTGACCGTCGTTTCGAAGTAGCATGTTTTTCATATAGGTACCTACTCTGGAATACCACAAGATTAAATTTCTAACCTGAGTGGGTTTGTTCTCATTTGGAGTAGTTGCTTCTTTTATACCGTGTCAGCCATGTAAACAGAAGCCTAAATACCTGGGCACCACACGGAGTTTGAGAACACTTTGTTAATTCGATTTTTCGACTGCCTTATTTCAGTAGAAATAGGAAAAGCTTCCTTAGGCAGACTGATCCACCAAGGAGCGGTCGTACCGGCCAGTTCTGGATGTACGTAGTTCGGCACGGTTAGGATGGGAGGCCAAAGTCAGGCGAGTCTGACTGGAAGGCTCATCGCGCGGCGGTATCGTGGAAGACAACTCTGAGAGCAAGACCCGTTGACAGGGATAGAATAGAGCTAGATAGTCGACCGCCCGTCGGTACGAAAGGGTCCCCAGACCGTCCGTTAGAGATTAGCCGAAGTGCCCTGTCCTTAACAGCATTGAGCATGAACGATGCAGCACCTCAAAACATGTGAGCAGTACTCGAGACTAGGCCTTATGTGGGTCTTGTACAGAGTGAGAAAGTTATGTGAATAAAGGCCTAGCTTTTTCTCAACAGTTGCCGCGATTGACGAAAGGTCAAGTCCTCGGTGATCTAAACTCCTACCAGCCGAAATGAACGGCTATTTGGTAGAAGTTGACAATAAATCGAAACCATAATTTGTTAGTCAAGATATAATGCTGCATTAAAGTGTACCAGATTGTTACGAAGCCAATCGTTGATAACCTCCCGATCTCTCGTCAGAGACGAATTCTCTGTTCTTCTTATTTCTAGCTCACCGGCAGAGATCGGCTTGGCACTCTGAATTCCTGTGTGTAGAATCCGGTGTTATCAATGATTCTGTCTAGTTTTCTAACCGGCATAAGTGCTCGTTACCTCCCCACAAATTCTCACACTCAACATTCATTCGCTGTTCCGATTCAACCGGTCATCATCATTACCAGGCTCTCCAAATCGACTCCATCACCGTAATCCCACAGTCGAGCCGCCTTGCCTACTACAAATTAATCCCCCGTCAATCGCAATACCCGCGAAAGTGAGACCTGCCAAATCAATCAGAGCCAACGCGATCGCCGACACTCCGCCACAGCACCACAGTCTTACCTGCCGCTGTAAAACATGGCCAACTGTAAATTAGAAAATAATGACATTATTACCCCCACCTAGCGACCGATCGGCCGTCATTGGCCGCGGAGACGCACACGGTGGTGGGGGTCGCAGCTGTTGGAGCGGTCGCCCGCCGTTGAAGCCAGTTTACCGCTGGTTGTTGGAGGGTAAAGATCGTCAAGTCCCTATTTTCGGTAAAATACGAGTGATCGCGAAGTGGTTGGATTACACTGTGTGGTTTTGTGTTTGAAAATGTGTTGTGGTGCTTCTAGTAAGGATACAAAAGGTGTGTGGACTAAGGATTTGTATGTTGCACGAGATTAGATTAACTGTAGTTTGAAAATTTAGATAATGTATTATTATTTTGTAAATGAAACTCGGGATGAGATGAATTCACCCGGTGGATGCGGATATTAAAATTCAAAGAATTCAGCGTCGTCTATCAGAAACATTCGTTAGTGGAAAAATCTTTTCGGTCTGTTAGTTTTTCCAGATGTGGTTACCCAACTATGAGATAAATTCAAATGAAAATACTGACACCTAAGAGGAAGACAAGAAAGAGAAGTCTAGTGGTTGTAGAAGGAATTTGGATGTTTTAAATGTTTACCGATTAAAAAAGCCACAACCATTCTTGTTGGAAACATTCTGGGGTAGCCAGGATATTATAGTGTATTTTTTGGAATATTCCACTCCAAAATGTTACTCTACCAATAATTCGGGACACCTTTTGGATGAAGTGATCATACCGGGAACATTTATTCATTTACCTCTGGCACAGCCACCTACAATTATCTTCTACGAAAGGTTTGAGGTTTTTCTATTACACGAGTTTAATTGTGTGTAGTTTGAAAATCTAAGTTGTTTTGCAGAGAAAGGCTTGATGGATAGTATCGAGGGTAGGTTTTTTGCTTAGGTAAAGTATATCACTTTTGAGAGTATGTTGTGTTGTTGATATTAGTGTTCAGAAAGTTAAACTTCAAATCTACTGTGAATGGGACTGTTAGGCTTGGTTTCATTGGATTTCCCTCAGACCATCGATTGATTTGATAATGTGGTGTGTTCTTCAAAATGTTGTGGTGCTTCGCATTACGAAAAGTGTGGGTTGAGCTTCGCTTGGAAATTATGCACCTTTAAAGACAGGAAAATAGTTGAAATTACGGTTAAAGTACCCAACCAGGGACAGAATTCGTATATGAATGAAGGCTGTGAGTCGACAAAAATATAAGTGATTTTTGAATCTGGACAAAAATAGGTTGCTTCGATTACATTTCTCATTTTTCGAAGTAATTCATTTCTTACCGAAGATATTATCTCCGACAAATGTGGTTACTCGACCCAGCAAATGATTTTTGTATCCCTTAAGTCAGCTCTCATGAAGATATCCATCCGCGAAATATTGACTCGTACGAAATATGATACAGCGCAGTAGGAAAAAAATATTGTGTCAGGTGTCAGTGTATTGTTACTAGTTTCTTGTTTGTTTTATGATTTCGATGACGGTTCCTTCATATTTATCGTATTATAAATTGAGTATCTTAGCTCTGTTGAGGTTCTGCAGGTTCTCTATTTCTGAGTTTTTCTTTCATCGTATCAAAATGTACATACCTAGTTTGTCCTCAGTGAGTAATTTACTTTTATTCTCATGTTCGTTGCTTGTCATCTCACTTGTCGTGGTAGTTGTTTTCACCTATACAATGTACGGAAATACTTGTTCCCTGATAAAGATTTCTCGAATATAGCAACATAGAAATATTAAAAGTTGAAAAATCCATATTGAATCCCTCAAATTCACATGTACCTTCCAATCACGCGTTTTCATGCAGAATAAACGTTGTATTCGCAGCGAATGAAGCTAAAGCATGTTTTAGTTCGTTTTCATACATCAGTGATTACTTCTTCTTTAGCATTCATACAAATATAGTGCTACAATATCGAACAGTATTTAAACCGGCGATGTGGGAGAAAATTTAAATGTCTTCTTAGTCGGCGTCGTTGTATATGTGTGTTAAATATCTCAAGTTTTGCATTGCAGTTGTGGTTAGAGCTATGAGCTGTACACATATATTCTTGTCGTATCATATATCTACTATTTATTGGCTACTATTTTTCTGCCCCGCAGTTAATAAAGTAACCAATTTGCCAAGCATGCTATCAATTTACTGAAGGCATCAAAGATACAAAACGTGATCGGCAAAGCAATGTTGCATGTTGGAAACAGTTTCAAGCGTACGAAGATGCCGGTAACAGCTAGTGCGTCTATATCTCTTGACGGTCACTGGCTGAGTGGGGCGATGGTAGGCCGCGTTGTTACCGGCTTGATACTTGTGATGGAGATTTTAGTACTTTCACCGGCAGTTGATTGCAAAATCGACGATAAAATCGCGGATAAAACCATAACCTTCTCCAGATATTAATTAGTAAGGGTAGAAATGATTACTTGTCTCCGTACTGAGTTTCAGATGTGATGCTGATAGACATTCACTTTTTTATATACAGATGTATTGATGATTTTTTAAATTTTTCAACCATTCTGCCTTTTAATAAGCTGTGTTTGCCCTTTGATAATAATAATAATGCGCTTATTGCCGAACAATGAGTACCATTTACAAAGCAAAAAGCAGTAGTATAGCACAAAATGAAAATATCTTAGGAAAACAAAAAGAAAAAACAGAAATAGAAGAAACATTAAAAACTTCACCAAAATCCATCATAGATGGGCTCGAGATTTATTCTTTAATTCACAGACACTGCAGTGAAAAATATCACATACACTTGAAATTTTATTGGCAATTCGGCACATAAAATTAATCGGAGCCTTTAATAGTAAGTTAGTTTGAGCTCTTTTACACAGAAAAGTATTGAATTGTCTAGATGTTATTCTAGGAACCAGAATATCTACTTGAGCTAACAATACAGGACAATGTACTTTCCATTGAAAAGCTTGTTCAAGAAAAGTACAGATAACTGATATCTACGGTTCTGCAAAGACTGATAATCAAATCTATGTAGTAGCTCAGGATAACTGCAGCCTCTTGGTGGATACACATCATCGATTTTAAAAGCTATGAATTTCAAAATTTTCTTTTGTGCTTTTTCAATAGCAACGATGTAGGCTATATATACGACTCCATATGAGTGAGCCATATTCTAGTTTGGATCTTACTAGACTGAAATACAGAGACGATATAACTAAGGTGTCGTTCAAATTCTTGCAATTCCTAACAATAAAACCGTATGGGCGACAAGCACTCAGCGCTGTTTGGCTTGCATGAAAATTAAATGTCAACTGATTATCAAAATAGACACCTAAATCTCTAATGCAATCGGTTCTTCCTAGTGTCGAATTCTCAATAGTATACCGATAAGATATAGGCTTGGACTTGCGACTGAATGTTACTACTTTGCATTTAGATATGTTTAAGTGCAGATGATCTCTTACACACCAGTTCTGTAGGAAAGTGATTTGTTCTTATAAAATGATACAGTCCTCTTCACTGGATACTGATATATATATATAGAGAAAATGATCATGCGGAGAAAGGTATATAACAAAAAGAAGGAAAATAATGGGCAAAATCCGCAAAAAAGGAGGAAAGTGGATTCAAGCAGAAAATAGGATAGGTAACCCGAGCGATACGTATTTCTGCTGGTTGGCTTCATCAGGCCCGAAATGAATGCACATATGCAACTACAAAAGTAGATACGCATGCTCATACATCCGGATACGGGTGTAACCTGAGGAAACAAAGATGGAGAGGGAGAAAAAAATCACACACGAAGTCCAGAACAAGAGCCAACCTCTTTGTAGATCCTTTGGGCTTGAAGTACCACAGCAAGTGGCTATAACCGGCCGCGTGGTTGTGGTTAGATGTCGCCTTGAAAATTCTAGGTCTTCTAACCATTTTGTACTACAATGTGTAGGTTGGCTCTTGTTGTGGACTTCGTGTGTGATTTTTTTCTCCCTCTCCATCTTTGTTTCCTCAGGTTACACCCGTATCCGGATGTATGAGCATGCGTATCTACTTTTGTAGTTGCATATGTGCATTCATTTCGGGCCTGATGAAGCCAACCAGCAGAAATACGTATCGCTCGGGTTACCTATCCTATTTTCTGCTTGAATCCACTTTCCTCCTTTTTGCGGATTTTGCCCATTATTTTCCTTCTTTTTGTTATATATTATGTTATATATATATATATACAACTATTGATGAGATTACTGTGAAAACAAAATTTAAAGAGTGTGTCACTGAATTAAATACTACATCGGGTACAGTATTAAAAAATACTCAACAGATATGCGATGAATTTGTACAATTCTTTACTGACTTAGGCGAAAATTTAGCAAGTAATATACAAGCAAATGTACAAAATACTCAGCCTCCAAAAAGAACTTTGAACTCATTTATTTTGGATAAAGTCGAACAATATGAAGTATACACCACTGTTATGTCCTTAAAAAATCGGAAAAGTCCTGGGTTCGATGGTATTAAAAGCGAGCATTTGAAAATTATAGCCGAGGACATAACAGAACCACTCACTTACCTAATCAACAAATGCTTTGAATCTGGCATATATCCCTCAATTTTAAAAAAAGGTAATATAATACCGATACATAAATCAGGAACAAAAACAGATGTTAACAACTATAGACCAATATCAATAATATCCAGTGTAGCAAAGGTTTTTGAAAAAGTTTTATCTACTAGAATGATTCGATACCTCACAAAATTCAAAATTTTAAGTGAAAATCAATATGGATTTACAGAAGGGAAGGCTACATCAGACGCAATAACTAAAATTGTAAATCAAATACGTATATATCAAAATATTGATAACAGAATCCCTTCAATCTGCATTTTTGTTGATTTAAAGCAAGCTTTCGACACAGTTAATCACAAATTATTATTAGAAGCATTGGAGAGAATTGGTTTCAGAGGAAACGCGTACTCACTGATCGAAAGTTATTTGTCAAATCGCCCACAATCTGTGCAGATATCAGGATCATTTAGTAAAGAAATGTATATTAAGTGTGGTGTCCCACAAGGAACTGTCTTAGGTCCGCTGTTATTCAATATATATTTAAATGATATTTTCCAAATTAATTGTGTTGGCAAAATAACTAGTTTTGCAGATGATACTGCAATATTATATGAAGGCACTGACTGGTCTGATCTGAAAAATGTAATTGAAAATGATTTTATCAAAATTATTCGGTGGTTTAACAGTAGAAAATTAAGCATTAACTACTCTAAAACACATTTTTTACCATTTGGATCTTATGCTAGA